AGCTTCCTCTCAGCATGGTGAGTACAAAGCTTTTTCTAGCATAAAGACCTAGAATCACAGTGTTTTCAACTTGCTTTCACAACAGACCCTATTCTTCCCAATTCCCATTCAAGAAGTAGGTAATAAGTCCAAAACATGAAGACATCTTCCCAATAAAAAGATACATTTATTTTCATTAAAAAATTATCGGGGCAGGCTTGGTGGCGTAGTGGTTGGGTTCCTGTTATCTGCTTTGGCTGCCCACGGTTCACAGGTTTGGATCCCGGGCACAGACCCTACACTGCGCTGATCAAGCCATGTTATGGTGGCATCCCACGTGCAAAAATGGAGGAAGACTGGCATAGATGTTAGCTCAGGGACAATCTTCCTCAAACAAAAAGAGGAAGATTGGCAAGAGATGTTAGCTCAGGGCCAATTTCCTCACACACACACAAAAAAATTATTGACACAGAATCATACAACCTTCAGAGTTGAAAAGGCCTTGGGAGCCATGTAAATCTAGTTCCCACCTACTGTATGAATCGCTTCAATAACATCTCTGTGTAGTCTGTTTGTGGCCTGGAATCTTAAGATGGGGAAAAAAAGTAAAGTTCTTTAGCTTGAAGGTTAAGTAATTCTGAGTACAGTTTTAAAAAGCTTAAAAAGCTTTGTTAGTACATGGATCTGGTAGGTAACATGGTTTAAGAGAAGTAGTACAGTTTTAAAAAGTTTTAAAAAGCTTTGTTAGTACATGGATCTGGTAGGTAACATGGTTTAAGAGAAGTAGATCAAAAGTAATCTGTGCCATTTGGTTACTTTCCATTACTTCATTGTCTCTTGCTACACAATTTCCCAATTGTTAGAAAGCTAACTTTGGTACCTACTAACAATAATTTTAAATGTCTTTAAAAAGATGTGCGCTACTAAAAACACCCGTTACTTTTGGGCCCAAAATTGAGTATGTTTTTCAGCTTCTAATGATTTTTTTACAGTATGACATAGATGGACATGGATTTATTCAGTCATTCACTGAACAAATAAACAGTAAGGGCCTACTCTATGCTAGACACTGTGCTAGGCACTAGGAAGACAGAGAAAGCAGAAAAGACACGGTCCCAATTCAAGGGGAGCTTTGTTTACACAAGAGACAGATTATCACCCAGAGAATTACAAATTGAGAAAAGTGCTAGAAAGGCAAAGTACAGGATGCTATGAGAACATGTAATAGGGAAAACTGATCTAGCATGGGGATTCAAAGAAGGATTTGCTGAGGAAGTAATGTTTAAGCTGAGATACGAATGGTGGTAATTTACATTTATGTAAAAACAGATTTCCATAACATCAAAGGGTTGATCCAATAAGTCAAGTTACCTTTGACATCTTTATCCTAAACCAGTCTCTTTATTAAAAAGAGGAAAACAAAGCATGCTATAAAGAGGTTTGAAAGCTAGTAGTTGAAAGTTCTTCAGGGGGAGGCACAGGGTCTTACTCATCTTTGGATACCTCACATCACCTTGCCTAGTATAACTATTATCATGGTAGTCACTCAAATCTTTGTTGAAATGATTAGTGTCAGTATTAAACCAACATTCATATTATCTTTAGTTAAGCAAAATAAATTCACAAAACTCTATCTCCTCACACAAGAAACCCCATTCCGAACTTCGACTGCGAAAAGAAGATGCCTTCATTTACTTCACAGGATTGCTCTCAAGAGTCAATGAGATAATATATTACTAAAGGCTGGGGTAAACTCTGATGTGCTTGCAGTAGTACATGGTATCTGTGTGACCAAAAAGCTTGACCAGTCTCTTCTCACTAACACAGTTCTTTAGATTCAGTTTTGTCATTTTCCTTACCATGAGAAAAAATTGTAACATAGGTTTGCACAGCCTCTCCAGCCTTGGCTTTCTCTGAGGGAGGGAGACTGCATAAACTCTAAGGTCCCTTCCAACTCTGGAAACTGACCTGCAAATGTTTTAAAAGGACCAAGATTACACTCCTCAGCTTAGATTTTAGACTACCTCCTCATCCACTCCATTCCCTCAGGACTTCCTTTCAGGAATGACAGCACACAGTTCATGATTTAAGTTTTTTAACAGATCTATTTTCCACTCATTTTACACGCAAATTTAAGTTGAATGTATTCATCCAAATAGGACCTAAATGATCCGAATAACTGTTGCAAAACTTTATATGGCCCAAAGAAAAAATGGAAAAAACAAAAAACAATAGTCAAAATGACCAACTGTCAAAAATAGATTTATAACTCCTAATCCCAAAAAGTAAATTTTGGTTTTTTGATTAAGAAAATTATTGCTTTATTTTAAAATCAGAAAATAAGAGTCACAAAAACAATCACTTATACTCAGAAATAACAGTAAAGAAATGCAAACTCATTCATGGAAAACAAAACTTTGTAAAAGTTACAATGGCTAGAAGAGTTGAAATGTCTACCATATGATGCAAATGTATTCACAAGATATTACCACATGAAAATGAAATTTTAGCAAAAAAGTTAAAGTGCTCAAATAAACCATGCAGCTAAAGGCAAATTTACATGTTTCTGTCTTGTTTAAAATAATTTCTTGGTGTAGTTTTGAAAAGCTCTCCTGGTTTTACCCTTCAATGACTAGTATCCCACTAAAGGAGAACACTATTATGATACTTCCAGGCAAGAGATCTGTTTTTAGGATGCAAACCAGGGCTATCAGATCCAGATAAGGTTTGCCACTAGAATGCTTCAGAAGTAATATGCTTTCAAAAAAAACCTTTTTTTCTTTTAAATTTATTATTTATTTATTGGGCTGGCCTCGTGGCTTAACGGTTAAGTGTGCGCACTCTGCTACTGGCGGCCCGGGCTCGGATCCAGGTGTGCACCGCCGCACCGCTTCTCCGGCCATGCTGAGGCCGCGTCCCACATACAGCAACTAGAAGGATGTGCAACTATGACATACAACTATCTACTGGAGCTTTAGGGGAAAAATAAATAAACAAATAAAATTATTATTTATTTTGTGTGTGTGTGTGAGGAGGACTAGCCCTGAGCTAACATCTGCCAATCCTCCTCTTTTTTTTGCTGAGGAGGACTGGCCTTGGGCTAACATCCGTGCCCATCTTCCTCCACTTTATATGGGATGCCACCACAGCATGGCTTGCCAAGCAGTGCGTCAGTGCGCGCCCGGGATCCGAACCGGCGAACCCCATGCCGCCACAGCAGACTGCGTGCACTTAACCACTTGTGCCACCAGGCTGGCCCCCCAAAAAAAACAAACCTTTTTTTAAAAAAGGTAATGCCTACACTAATAATTGCTAATAAATTTAGTTTTTAAGCACTTTTTAAATTTTTATATAAATTTTAATAACTTAACATTCTAAACTTATTTCTAGAGAAAAAGCTAATCCTTTCAGTCCTAGTGTCAATGTCAAGACAGCAGCTTCCTCTTTGACAGTTACTTTTAATGCTTATTTTAACTATATTTTACATCTACTGAGTGTTTCAGGACTTTAAAGTTCATTACAGTCATTATATTATAAATTACAACATGTGGACTACAACAGTCTCTTTTCAAAGAGGTGCAGATAGAAGTTAAATAACTCGGCCAAGGTCACCCAACAAGTCAGTAACCAAGTTGGGAGAAGGAGTAAAACTTCAGCTCCTAGACTACTAACTACTTCATACTTTCTGAATTCCATAAGAGAGAAAAGTCAGTCAGGCGATTTACCTTCAGTAACAGTATACCTCAAACACAGTAGCACACTTCATAAACACTAACAAAAAAGATTCACCTTTAATAAATGAGACAACTTGCTACATTTAGATACCACTGTCACATCCTTAGTTCTTGTAACCAAGCAAAAACCTATTGGATCTGGATATATTAAATCCTAGAGAATGTTCACTCTTCGATATGTACAATTTATTTTCACACTAATCGAATATTTATAAGTTAATCTGTTAACACCTTAACCCATGCCCAGATGCTGTGGAGTTTTAATGTACTCACTCTTCCAACAGTCAAGTCAAAGACCACTTATCTCAAAAGCAAGCAGTTCTCAATGAGAACAAAGTTATGTAGCCAATGAAAGAAAACTCTAATAAATCGCTGCTTCTAAAGAGAGATTTTTAAAGGATGATTACATGCTTCACAGAATTGCTGTTAAGTCGCCCGCCAAGATGGATGGTTCTTGTAAAGTAGCTTTTAAAGCATATCCCTCCCTGTTTGGGACATAGTCTGACTTGTTGGACAAGACTGATCTGGGCACGCTCACAGAGAACCCCTCGGAACCGGCTTAGTTCATTGAAAACATCATTTCGACCTCCCAACTGTAGTAGACAGCCCTTCTCATACTATAAGGGACAAGATGACCCTCTGTAACAATCTCTCAGGAGAAGGTTCCTTGGGCAGAGACAGTGACAGCCGTCCTCCCTTGGATGTTTTTGGAAATAGAAAGTGTTAACATCGGAGGAGAGGCTCCTAGGAAGTGTCAGTGCGGCAGCAGGTGGAGTAGCCCTGCGTGCCGAGCAGGTCCTTTCTGACCTAGTCTCAAGTCCTCCGCTTCCCAGCCGCGGTTCCGCCTTACAGACCTTCCCAAGCCGCCCCGCGCCCCTGTTCTCTAACCCACAGCGAGACTCCCAACCCTCCCGGGAGGCGAGGCTGTCTAAGCAGACGCGACGGCCACCCCACCTCTTCCGGGGACTCGCAGGCCCGCTCCAGCCGTGTCAGAGCCTGACGGACCCTGCCGGAGGGGAGGCAGCCAGCCCCTTCTGGGGCCTCCCAGCCGGAACCCCGCACACCACGGCCCCTTCCCACCGCCCCCCAACCCTTCGAAACACCACCGCCACCACCCTCCTCACTCCTGAATCCCCTTCCTCAGGAGCACCCCAGCGGAGTTACCGGCCCACTCAAAAGTAAGAGCGACGGCCACCCCTATCGGTCACCCTGGCCCCCGCTGTCACCGCCCTGCTCCCGGCCTCTGCCCACGCCGCTGGCGGGCCCCGGTGACGCCCGGGTCGGTACCTTGCGGACCCCCTTGTAGATATAGAAGTAGAGCTCCCGGCCCACATTGAAGCAGAGGCGGTCGCCGTTGCCAGATTGGTCGTTGAGATTTACGAAGGAGACGCGGACAGGGTTGGATCCCTGCGAGTTGAAGGGCACCCGGTTGGGCCGGCTGTACTCTGAGTGCGGCAGCAGCTTGTACAGACCTTCCCGGGTGGTGAATTGGGTCTTAATCTCGTTCATCTCCTTCCCTCCTCCCTCCGTCGCCATCTTGGAAAGCAGCGTTCATCCTGCCCTAAGTGCCCGGATCACGCCCACCGCGCAGGCGCTGTCCCGGTCTCTCGCTCTCCCCCCGCCGCTTCCTCCTGGCCCCTCCCACCCGCGAGCCGGCCCCGCGGAGGCCGGCCGAGGGGACGGGGCGGGCTTGTTTACGGCCGGACTGCGCACGCGTGATCACCTGCCGCGCTCCGCGAGGAGGTGCGCCCGCAGGCTCCTCCCCCGGGCGCGGCCTCGGGGCGGACCTGCTGCGGCGCAGGTGTTGTCCACCCGACTGCTGGGGTAGGCTACCCGTGCTGCAGCCTCCGCCACCGCTGGGTGAGGGGAAGCCGCGGCGGGGCTGCGGTCGGGAACGCTGAGGTGAGCTCGGGCGGCCTCCTCAGCTGCCTCCGGCCCCGCCCTGAGGGACCCTGGGACGCTGAGGAGCAGAGGGAGGGAGCCGCGGCGGCCACCACTCCATTCGGGGTCAGCACGTGGGGTACCGTGAGCGGAGAGCAGAAACCCCAGTGTTCTGCCTTCCGGAGGGGGCGGCTCCCCTCCCTCGGGACCTCCCCTCGGCCTCCCAGCGCGACCATCTGGATGCCCGGGTCGAGAAGCCCTCTGCACCGCCCGCAGTCAGTTTCCGAGAAGGTACCGAAGAACCTCAGTTTTCCGACTCACCGTCTTTTATTTAGGCGGGGTGGGGGGAGAGGAATATATATATATACACACAGCATATGTATTTGCAAGTCAGCTATCTGGTTACCTGTCTGTAGTGAGCGTTGGCTAATTTAAGGGAAGTAGGTTGTGTTGGCACTTCTGTTGAAGTTTGTCTTTACCACGTGTCTAGAGAAAAGGAGGAGGATCGGGTCGCGGAATGGCTTTGGGAACCAGAGACTGAATCTAAGCAGGATTCATTTCTCTTACTCAGTAGTTTAAGAGCTCTTAATAAAGTTAGAGCCCATTGATTAAAAACAAAGCCTTAAGTGGAATCTGCGAAATCGTTTACTAGGCATAGTTGTATGCATATACTGTGCTAGGCCTGGATATGTAAGGACAGGCACACACACGTGTTGAAGTAAGATTAAACAATCAGCATTTCGTACCTGGGTTTCTTGGCATGTTGCACTAGAATAAGAAAGTTTCTAAAGTGACAGAAACATTCTGATAGAATTCCGGGGGGAAAAAGCCGACATTACAACAAGAATGAACTGTTCCTTTAAGTTCAAATCATAGCTGGAGGGTCGCAAAGAATTGGATGGAGGTACGTTCTAAAGTAAGAGGAGTCTAAATCATAAACATCTTATGTATTACAAAGAAGTAGATGCCAGTGGAAACTGTGCCAATGATATAATAATGCATTTGACACTAACATCCTGTATCCTTTGTACATGCTGGCAAAAAAGCACTAGAGTAAAATCCTCCTTAATTCATAGATCCCTAAAATTAAAATTTTAAGTTTAAAGTTAAAATTTTTTGTTACAATCTTCTTGATGTTATCTGCGTATCCCTAAAAGTCAAACAGATATCAGAAGTCTCAAAATACCAGGATGTGGGGCCGGCTCCGTGGCTTAGCGGTTAAGTGCGCGCACTCTGATGCTGGCGGCCTGGGTTCGGATCCCGGGCACGCCCGGAGGCACCACTTCTCCGTCCAACGCGAGGCCGAGTCCCACGTACAGCAACTAGAAGGATGTGAACCTATGACATACAACTATCTACTGGGGCTTTGGGGG